CCGCATCCCAAAACCAGTCCAGCTCGTCCCTGCCTCCCTAACCTGTTCTTCCTCCCACCTATCCCCTCCTCCCACCTCAAGCCGCACCTCCATCTCCTACCGACCAACCTCATCCCGCCCCCTTGACCTGTCCGTCCTCCCTGGACTGACCTATCCCCTTCCTAACTCCCTACCTACACTCACCTTTCCTGGCCCCACCCCCGCCTCTTCGACCTGTTTGTTTCTTCTCCACCTATCCTCTCCTCTATCCCTCTTCTATCCGCCTCCCACTCTCTCCCTATTTATTTCAAAACCCCCTTCCCCTCCCCCTTTTCTGATGAAGGGTCTAGGCCCAAAACGTCAGCCTCTCTGCTCCTATGATGCTGCTTGGCCTGCTGTGTTCATCCAGCCCTGCACCTTGTTGTCTTAGAGTCCTCTAGAGTTCTCCTATTTCTGTGCAAATGTTAGAATGGTTCCTACTGGAGTGATGCTGGAAAGTGAGAAGAACCTCTGTCAAACTTCAAGATGTGTTCATCTCCATACCATCAGCCCTCCTTCTAATGTGCCAGACTTGAGACCTTCCTCAATAAGCCCATCATTTCTCCCCCTTTCCTTTGTCCTCATTTATTATTGGGCCAGTCATGGCACTTGCTGCTGGATTTCTCAGAGCAGCTTCTATTACCATTCCACTGTCTGTTCTCAGCGGATATTTTGGCGAGGGACAAAGTTCTTCAACCTCCATGTCATCCCATAGGCTCCCTCATCTGTTGCTCACCCCAATCAGAGGTATTGATCTATAATTTAATTTCAATCTTTATTGTCTCCTGAGATTTTTTCTCAGGATGTGGGTATTACTGACAAGGCTGGCGTTTGATGCCCATTCCTAAATATCCCAAAAAGATGATGAAGATCTCTTTTAAATAGCTTCAACAGCCACTTGCTATAACTTACTTCAAAAGACAGTTAAGGTCAAACTACTTTGGTGGAACGAAAGATTGATCAGATCCCATTCATTTACTAGTTGCTTGGCCACAACAGGCTTATACTCTTTTTGTGATACTAATGTTTTATTTCCAAATTTTCAAAAATGAAATTAAAATTCTCAATCTGACAACAATGGGATTTGAACTCACATCCACTTAGTTATTTATGTTAACCTCTTTGTGGCCTCGTAACATAACCAATGCAATATCAAGAGGAAAGTTTCCATTGTCTCTGCTGAGCAAAAATGGGGCAATCGCATCCACAAATCAGACGGGTATAACTTATCATCTTCCACTTGCAATCAAGTTGATATGAGCCTTTCTAAATACAATTGTAGATGTATAAAGCTTCTGTTTTTAATTTGACACATCAATCTTCAGGAGGAGCTTCTGAATTCATCCTTGCTCTCAATATTGATTGGACCAATAATATCATCGAGCTCTACAGCACAGAATAAAACCCTTTGGCCCAACACCAGTCAAAAACAAACCCCTAACTATTCTAATCCCATTTCTTGCACTTGGCCCATGGCCTTGTATGGCTTGGCACCCCAAGTGTAAGTCTCAATCTAAATGCCATTCATTGCATGTCAATAAGCTCTGAATGATACCTGCAGGCTGGATTGTGAATGACATGCTTATGGGAAAACATTTCAACAGTTTTCCCAACAACGAAGTACTCGGTCAAAAATTCTCTAATGTGAAAGCAAACATCATGAGCACAGGACAGAGCATGGGTCACAAATCCACTTTCGGTCACAGTCAGGTTTTCTGTATGAGCTGAGTCAAGCTGATATAGCGTAGCTATGCAACCAGTTGTTTGAGATTTGATGTTCTAAGTGAGGTCTGATGGCAGCAGCAATTTAGTCTAAATCAGAAAATGCAAGATCCTCATGTTAACCTTTAACATCTATGGTTGTAAATGGAATATCAAGTTCATACTTATTCCATCACTGTACTTTTCTGTTTGTGTCTGCTTCATTATGAATTACATTTTATATTTGTAGGGTGAACAAGGACCTCCAGGACCTCAGGGTCCTCCTGGTTTAAGAGGTGTTCAGGTAAAATAAATGTTCGCTCACTTCATTGGGGGAGCCATTAATTATTGTCTAAGGTTTTCAAACATCTTGGTAGCTGGTTCTGTGTTAAGTTAGCCGACACCCTAGACATTGAAGTCCTGACTTAAATCTTTTCTGAAAGCATTAGCCCCTTACAATGAGTGCCTCCTTTCCCTAAGATTTTGCAGCAAAGCTTCCATCAATCTTTTTTGATAAAAGTAGTTTTCTTCATGTTGTAACATCCAAACCTACTGGAATTGTGCAGAATAATATCAGTCTTTTGCTTTCAAGTGCCACATTGGTGACTTAAGTGATTCATAATTCCACTTTCAACAGCTTAATTGGATTAGTGCTCCTCCCATTTCACTGGTTTAGCATCTTGTATGAGAGCTGTCATTCACATTTTAGCCCAATGGGCTGACGAAAGCAAATCGTTAAGTAAACCAACATAAATTCGCCCAATAGTTTATCATAACTTCTCATTTTTCACACTAATTTCTAGGCGTAAATCAGGCAAGTAGAAATTCTGCATAATGTCAGGAAATTTCAGACAATGATGTAAGAAGTCAAACGAGGCCTTTCTTGGAGCAACAAATAGTATTTCCCAACAGAATTTTGGATGTCAATTTGAGAACCTTGCTAGTGAGAGGCCTAATAGCTGGGACTATTACACATTGTTACTCTCATTACTACCTAATCTTGGTTTATTAATATGCAGATTCCAAATCCACCATCCACCAAATAGGAACTAGATGTTGAGAATACCGACATGAAAGTCAGAACAGCGAACTGGTGATTCCAGCTGCCATTTACTCCTGCAGACCTCCATCGTAGACACCCAACATATTCCAGGATAATAGTTGAACCCACCCCATGTCAAGAAATACTAAAAGGACACTGTGCATACGGGGACCTAGATCACAGATTCAAGCAAGCTACATCTCAGGGCTGTCCACTAGCTTTCTTAGTGCTCAATCACTGAAGACCTCCCTGGACGCACACGGTACCCCTATCTTGCCTTTTAAAGCTATTCCTCAGCTAAAGTTAACTGACTCACAATGTTTCTGGCTTGACTTGTCTTTTAGCACAAAGCTTGTCATGGTTGTTGGCAGACCTTGGGTAAACATTGTTACTGTATGACACTATGCTACGTCAATCTCACACTCACAACATGTGTCACCAGTATATGCAGCAATGACACAGCATTCAAACAGATGTCCATTTCTCAAAGTCTAAGGGGAGTATTCCTCAGTCAAGTTAAAGAAACCAGTCCCAGGGTCAAAGGCAGCCTCTGATTACAGTCCAGGGGCTAGGAATGGACATTGAGCTACTCAGGCTGGGAATGGCCAGGTCCTCTCCTTATAGAAGGTGAGAACCTGAAGGTCTGTTATCACACTGCCTGCCTTGGCTCTTTCTTCCCTGTTGTAGGCTTTTGTTTCTTTTTTCCTCCTGGAATTAGAGAAAGGAAGGTACTGAGTCAGGCGAAAGTGCATGGCACAACTTTTACTGCAGTTGCAGGTGGGGGTGAGGTGTCCCAGTAGGCAGCACAGAAGCCATGCAGGGTTAGTGGTGTGGGGGATTTGGATGGATAAGAGACAGTGAAAGAATATATTGTATGCAACAATGAAAGTCGTAGAATACAAGGCTTAGTGGGAGATGCGTGCAGGAGCAGAGACAGAGTGAGCATGAGTTAGCAGAGAGAAGATGGTGGCACTTATCCTGGCAGAGCAGAGTAGGCCATTGCTCTTTTTCTTCTTTTGTGGGTGCTCCTCCAGATGGTTGAGACTGTACTGACGTAGGTGGCAAACTCAGCCCAGGCTGGCAGGGTCTGGTTTGCTAAGATCAAAGCAAACAAGACACGGCCAAGGAAAAGTGGAGATGCAAGAAAAATGTGGTTGAGATCAAATTCTGAAGTTTTAGAAAGCAATATTGAGTCCTGGAAGCTAAAAAGTACCAAAGTTGAAATGAAATGTTGTGCCTCTAACTTGCACTAAGCTTCAAGGATGGAAATGTTAGCTTGGAGCAAGGTGGTTTCTTATAATGGCAAGAAACTGGAGCCTATTAGACTTTATCCCTGTTTCAGGGGATTGCTGATAGTAATGACTGACAATAAAACAGAATAAACTTTCCACTTCTTCCCCTGTTACAAACTAAGCTCACTTAGAAACAGATCAAAAGATAAAAAGTTTTCATTGTGGAGACATTTATCTCACACAGCCTTCCTCCTGAATAGTGAGATTTCACTCTCTTTATACCTCGCTAGTTGTTCCAGGTCAAGATGTAGTTTACTAGGGAAAGGAACGATGACCTCTGGGAATTCTTTCAATATTATGTGATAAATCAGCCAATCAAAATTAGTACATTGAGAGCACCGGTGTGATTGTCCGTTCTATGTGTCTTCAGTAGAGTTGAGGATCAGAAGTTAACCAAAATGGAAGTCGTGAGAAATGTAAAATCTTCATATGATTCAATGTCTCTCTCTCTCTCCATCTCTCTCTCCCTAACTCACTCACTCGCTGAGTTTACCTGATTGTTTCTAATTAGGTGGTTAAATCAATATGGATTTGGGATTATTCCAGAAATAGAAAGGAAATGAAAATAAATATTTTAACACATTGGACTGTATTTTACAGGTCACCCAAGGGTGGAGAAGAATGCAAACATATAAACTGATTGCAGGGTGCTGAGAGTGTTGCATATTGGTCTACAAGCAACTATTAAGGCACACTACAAAATTAAAAAAATTTGGAATGCAGACTTGTTATTGCGGAGACACCATAGACCAAAAGACATCCTTCTGTGATGATCAGGTTCCCATGTGTGTCACAAACGTATCTTACCAAAATGAAATGCCACATATCAAGGAATATTCTGAATAAACACTGACTTGGTAGAGTTCTTCGAGGTATTTAGGGTTAAAATAAAATAAAGATTCATTTGCCCTACCTGAACAGCAGACTCAGATTTAATATAATTACAGAAATAATTGACGGATGCTCACAAGAGATTTCTCAACTCGAGATATGATATAAGATGTATAATTTCCAAAATGACTTTGAATCAGAGTTTAAAAGCTGTGAGATAACTGCTTGGAAAAAGAGGAGGAATGTTTCAGGTTATATGAACCATTCAGAGAGTGGAGTAAGACCAGAAGATATGTGAAGAAAATTATTGGTGCAGACTATCACCACCCTCGTTATCAATGTATGTATTATGTTTATAGGGTAAAAGTGGTCCTCCTGGTCCTGAGGGAAAACTTGGTCCTCCAGGTGACCAGGTAAGAAAACAGATTTTTTCAGATTCTGTAGCACTATTACAGGATTTGACTGACAAAAGCTGGCACTGTGCAGAAAATTAGACTGACTCCATTCACATGAACTAATTTTCAATTTTAGGGACCAAAGGGTTCTAACGGAAGAACTGGAGACCCAGGGTTTCCAGGTCCCCAGGGACTACCAGGACAACCGGTGAGAATTTCTGTCTGATTTCTTTGCCTGAAAAGAGAGTGAGATTTGTTTTTGTTTAAAATTGTTTACGAACTTGATGATGACAGCCTTCTCTTTATGAAACAATATGGAAGCCCTGAAGAGAAAATTCTCAAAGTGCATCAGACCAATAGTGGGTCTCCTCATTTCTGGTTTCCTCAAGGGCAGGATTGTTTTCTAAGCTCCAGCATAAAGGTGATTACATAACAAAACTGAAGAAATATCAGAAAATTGCTGCATGGTGTTTAGAGCACTGCCATTGGTGGTTAGCAGTCACTACAGCACAAATACTTAAAAATTTAGAGTTTCAAATCAATTTATCACCCTCACAACTTAATTATAATTTCACTACGATCAATTTATAGTTTATGCTGCCAAAAATTTGCCAATTTAGTTTTGAATTGGCACTCAATAATGTCATGGTCTATCAATCTGACTGAGTAATCCAAATTATTGTCTCGGTTCCTTGATGTGTAAACATGTTCTAAATTCTTATATTCTCTTGTATTATGCATTTTGTTCACTCCCAAAAATATTGGTTTTCAATCTTGATACTTGTCTATAAATCTTCTATTTACTTGCCCTACTTTACCCCTCCTTTTAAGTTGATTTTTGTCATCCTATTCTTTTATTCCATGAACAGGGACAGCCAGGAGAGACGGGATTCCCAGGAAAAACAGTAAGTAAAGCACAACATGTTTATTCTTATCAATCTCTCGTAGAAATCTTACAGTGTGGAAACAGGCCATTCACCCATTAAGTCCACACTGGCCCTCTGATGAGCATTCCACCCAGACCCATCTCATCCTTTTCACCCTGCATTTCCCACGGCCTATGCACCTAGCCTACACATCCCTTGTCAATATGGGCAATCAGCCTTACCTGCGTATCTTTGGACTGTGGGAGGAAAGTGGAGCGCCTGGAGGAAACCCAAGCAGACACAAGGAGAATATACAAACTCCACCTAGACAGTCTCCCAATGGTGGAATCAAACCGAGGTCCCTAGCACTCCGAGGCAGCAGTGCTAACCACTGAGCCACCGTGCCACCCATGATAATAATCTGTTCATGGCCATTATCAAACAAAGCCACAGTATACATGATGTGTTAAGGAAGTGTTGTGGTGGTGATGCCACTGCACTTGTAATCAAGAACCCAAGCCTAATATTTCATGCCTGGCTAGCTCAGTCCATAGGGTATGAGACTCTTAACTTCAGAGTATGCTATGTCACTGTCCCTACTACTGGGTCAGAGGTTTCTTGGTTGGAGCCCCACTTCTGAATTTTGCATTTCTGAACAGGAGGTTAAAAATAATTAAATCTCCTCATTGTATTCATGATGAAAGTTTCAAGACTGCCTTTACTCTTTTGTGCAGGGATCTCCAGGCAAATCAGGTGAACGGGGGTCCAAAGGAGAAAGAGTAAGTGATGCAGCGATGAAGACAAACTGAATATCACTAGACCACCTGAGCTGTCAACTAGCCAATAAACTGACCAGCAACCTCAGATAAGTAACAACTCCAATGTAAGAGAGTCAAACTCAATATGCAGTATTATTCATTTCATTGTAAAGCCAAGTCTAATGCTACTGTAAGCAGATATCGCTCCCCTGATGAACATCAGAACATAAGTAATAGGGCAGGAGTAGGCCATTCAACCTCTCAAGCCTGGCCAATCATTCAATAAGATGACAGTTGATCTATCCCAAAGCTCAACTCCTCTTTTGTGTCAGCATGCCATAGCCCTCAACTCCCCGATATTTCACAAATCTACTCTTTAAATATTTATATCATCAAAACAGTTAGATCAAACCTGAAACCTGCGTGGTCCGTGTGGCTCATATTATACTATTTATTGTTTATACTCACCGAAGCAAGGCAACATACAGTCCATTTTAAAATGCCATAAATATACAGATTGTTGGTATTAAGATGTCGAGGAAGATTTTTGTGATTACCGCTTGGAAGTTAAACATTGTCCAGACAGAGTGCAGAAGAGAAAACTGGATAGAGGATTTCAAGCTGCTATCAGAACATACTAATTTTACTTCCATCAAATAAGGGACATTCTGTAAGTAATCTGAAATCCACATCATCAGACCATGCTGTGCTTCACCTGAAAACCCAGGCATTATTCTGGCTAAAGTTCACAATTATTCCTATAGTTAGTTTCTCATTCTAGCCACATTCCTCCTACATCTGATGCCACCAGAAATACATTAATTGGTCATTCATCGTGCTTGTACGTTTTATGGAATCCTATTGTTTATAATTAATACGTAACAACAGTGACAGCACTCCAGAAATAATTGAAATGTAGCAAAGCATTTTGGGACATCCATTGAACATGGGAAAATGCTTGAAAAAATACACATTGGTTCTTTCTCTATGTCAAATTCAAATAATAAATTTCCCAATAAAAATATAGAATCTAAGGAAGAGAAGTAAATAATGTTACGAGAATTATTTTTAATGAGGTACTGAACTCGTATTTTGTGAGATTTACGTCTTTTGCTCGGCTTCATCGACAAAGAAAATTCAGCCCTCCTTCCAAGGTCAGGTGATTAAGAATGCTGGGAATTCAATCTCCTTCAGTTGTTACATGTTAAGTTAACAGGAATATCTTATGGTTCGCATTGCCCTTAATGGGTTTTGCATGTAAATTAATCAGTTGGAAAGCATGCATAATTTACTGGTGATGGTAAATGGATGAAAAAGAACAACATAGGTGATTTGGTGAAGGAAAAAAACACGTTCCATTCTGTGTAAGAACACTTCCAGATATTAAAAAAACACATATTTTAGTGATGTTGTGGTGCAGTAGTAGTGTCCTACTTCTGAGCCAGGAACGTATCCTATTTGGTCCAGAGATGCGTGATATTGTCAGTGAACAAGTTACATTCATAGAGTCATGCAGCATAGAAACAGGCCTTCGATTCAACTCGTCTATGCCGACCACATTCCTCAACTGAACTAGTCCCATTTGCCTGTGTTTGGCCTGTATCCTTCTAAACCTTTCCTACCCACCTACCTTTCCAAATATCTTTCAATTATGTCCGCCTCTACCACTTCCTCTGCCAGCTCATTCCATTTATGCACCACCTCTGTGTGAAAAAGAAAATTGCCCTTCAGTTTCCTTTTAAATCTTTCCCCTCTCATTTTAAATGTCATCCCTATTGTTCTGGGCTCCCTTGCCCTGAGGAAAAGACCTTGGCTATTCACCTTATCTATCCCCCTCATGTTTTATAAACCTCTATAAGGTTACCCTCGGCCTTCTATGTTCCAGGGTAAAGGGTCCCAGCCTCTCCTTATAACTCAAAGCTTCCAGTCTCAGTAAAATCCTTGTAAATATTTTTTGCACCCTTTCCGGTTTAATAATATCATTTCTATAGTAGAGTAACCAGAATTGTACACAATACTCCAAATGTGGACTTACCAATGTCTTGTACAGCTGTAATATGACATCCCAACTCATGTACTCAATGTTCTGACCAATGAAGGCAAGCGTGCCAATTGCCTTCTTCCCCACCCTGTCAACCTGTGACGCTACCTTCAAGGAACTATCTACCTGAACCTCTAGGTCTCCCTGTTCAACAACACTCCCCAGGTTAACTGTATAAGTCCGGTCCTGATTTGTCTTACCAAAATGCAACACCTTGCATTCATTAGAATTAAAATCCATCTACCATTCCTCGGCCCACTGGCCCAGTTGATCAAGCACTGTTGTACTCTTAGATAAGCTTCTTCACTGTCTACTAAACGACCAATTTTGGTGTCATCCACCAACTTAGTAACCAGGCCCCCGATTTTCTCATCTAAATCGTTTATGCAAATGAAAAATGACAGTAGACTCAGCACCAATCTTTGTGGCACACCACTGGTCACAGGCCTCTAGTCTGAAAACAACCCTCTACCACCAATCTCTGTGTTCTGCCATCAAGCCAATTTTGTAGCCAATTGGCTAGCTTTTTCTGGATCTCGTGCAATCAAACCTTACTAACCAGTGTACCATGCAGAACCTTGTTGAAGGCCTTGCTAAAGTCCATGTAGATAATGTCCACCGCTCTGCCTTCATTGACCTTTTTGGTCATCGCTTCAAAAAACTCAATCAAATTTGTGAGACACAATTTTCCATGCACAAAGCCATGCTGACGATCCCTAAACTGTCTTTGCCTTTCCAAATACATGTAGATCCTGTCTCTTGGAATCCCTTCCAACAATGGACCACCACTGACGTTAGGTTCACCGGTCTATAATTCCTGGCTTTTCCTTGCTGCCTTTTTTAAACAATGGCACAGCATTAGGCTTCCCCCAGTCTTCTGGCACAACCTGTGGCTGTTTATGATACAAGTATCTTTTTAAGGACCCCATAATTTCCTCCATACCTTCCCACAATGTCCCAGAATAATTTTGATCAGGCCCTGGGAATTTATCTTCTTTTATGCGTCTTAAGACCTCCAGCACCTCCTCTTCAGTAATGTAGACTCTTTTCAAGACATCACTGTTTATTTCCCCAAGTTCCCTAACATCTATATCTTTCTCCATAGTAAATACTGTTGAGAAATATTCATTTAGGACCTTACCCATCTCCTGTGACTCTTTGCATAGATGACCTTGTGGCTCTTTAAGGGGCCCTATTTTCTCCTTAACTACTCTTTTGCCCCTAAATTACTTATAGAATCTCTTTGGATTATCTGCCAAAGCTATCGCATGTCCCATTTTGCCACCCTGATTTTCCACCTAACTGTACTGCTGCGTCCACATACTCTTCAAGGGATTCACTTGATCCAAGCTGTCTATACCTGATATAAGTCTCCTTTTTTCTTGACCAGAGTTCCAATATCGCTAGTCATCCAGTGTTCCTCACTTCTGCCAGCCGTGCCCTTCACTCTAACAGGAACATGTTGACTCTGAACTCTCGTTATCTTGTGTTTGAAAGTGTCCCACCTGCCACTCATCTCTTTATCTGCAAACAGCCTCCTCCAATCAACTTTTGAAAGTTCTTGTCTAATAGCATCAAAATTGGTCTTGCCTCAAATGAGGGCTTTAACTTGTGGACCAGACCTATGCTTTTCCATAACTATTTTAAAATTAATGGTCCAAAAGTGCTACACCCCATTAGTACATCAGTCATTTGCCATGCCTTATTTCCCAAGAGGAGGTCGAGTTTTGCCCCTTCTGAAGATGGGCCATCTACATATTGATTGAGAAACCTTTCCCGAACACACTTGACAAATTCCTCCCCATCCAAGGCTTTAACACTATGGCAGTCCCAGTCTATGTTTGGAAAGTTAAGATACCCTACTATTACAACCTTTCTTCATCTATCTGCAATCTCTATGCACATTTGCTCCTCAATTTCCCACTGACTGCTAGTGGACAGCACAATCACATCAAAGTGATAATCCCTTCCTATTTCTCAGTTCTACCCATATAGCTTCACTGGATGATTCCCCCAGGAATATCGTTTCTAAATATTGCCGTGATGTTTGCTTAGTCAAAAATGTCACTCCCCCTCCTCTCTCGCCTCCCTTTCTATCCGTCCTATAGCATCTGTACCCTGGAACATTGAGCTGTCAGCCCTGTCCCTGCCATGCTCTTGCCTGCCCAGTCTGTTTAATTTCTGCATGAGCCTTAACCTTCTCCTTTGTCTCAATACTGTTTAGGATCCCACTGCCCTGCCAGCTAGTTTAAACCCTCCAGAGTAACTCCAGCAAATCTCCGCCAGGATATTGGTGCCGCTCCAGTGAGGGTGCAACCTATCCCTCTTGTACAGGGTTACCATTGCCGCAGAAGAGATCCCAATGATCCAAAAATCTGTATCCCTTCCCCCAGCTCCTCAGCCACGTATTCATCTGCCCTATCCTACTATTCCCACTAGCATGTGGCACTGGAAGTGATCCAGGGAATCCTACCCTTGAGGTCTTGCTTTTTAACCTCCTGCCTAACTCCCTGTAATCACTCTATAGGGCCTCATTCTTTTTCCTACATATGTTGTTGCTACCAATGTGTACAATGACTTTGGCTGCACACACTTCCCTTTGAGAATTTACTGCAACTGCTCCGAGACGTCCTTGACCCTGGCACCATGGAGGGAACACGCCATCCTGGAATCTTGCTCGCAGCCAGAGAAACGTCTGTCATGCGCCCTGACTACAGAGTCCACTATTACAGTTGCTTTCTTGGACTTTGCCATAGCTAGTTGTGATGCCAAATACCTGGCTGCTGCTGCTATTTTCCCCTGAGAGGCCAGCACCCCCCAACAGTATCCAAAGCAGTACACTTATTTGAGAGGGGGATAACCACAGGAGACTCCTGCATGACCTGCCTACCTCTCTTGGCATCACCAATCTACCTGATTGAACCTTATGGTGTCATCACCTTCCTGAAGCTACTATTATTACACTCTCTACCTGCTGTATGCTCCTCAGTGCATCCAATATGCCACAGCAATTGGTCCATGTGGTCTGAGAGGAGCTGCAGCTGGACACACCTCCTGCACGTTGATCAGAAAGTAAAACTAAACAGGAATATGGCTCTTGTTGTGTAGTATAGACTCCCTACCTTTGGGTCAGAAGGCCTAGTTCAACTCTCACCTGCTTCAGAGGTATTTCAGAGGCACGTCATATGGTTGAATAGGTTGATTAAAATGACTAACTAAAGCAGCAGAGCACTATAGCCATCACCATGTCCAGGCCAGGGATTGTGGAGGGGTTTGTAATTCCTGACTGCCTGCTTGTTTAAAACTGAGATGGGAAGGAATTTCTTCAGGCAGAAGGCGGTTAATCTATGGAACAAATTGCCACAGAGGACAAGTGGAGTCCAGGTCATTGAGTGTCTTTAACACAGAGATAGATAGGTTCTTGAATGATAAAGGGATCAAGGATTACAAGGAGAAGGCAGGAGAATGGGGTTGGGAAACATATCAGCCATGATCAAATGGCAGAGAGACTCAGTGGGCTGAATGGCCTAATTCTGCTCTCATATCTATATTCTTATGGTCTTCTTTTCTCCAGCTGTGTCCTAGGAAATGGAGCATATGGTGTCCACTGGTATCCTTGAGGCTTTCAGAGATATGGGGGTGCTGAGGTACAGTAAAGGAACAAAAAACAGAAATATTTAGGGCTTTTGTGGTGCAGTGTTATGCCCCTACATTTGGCCAAAATGCCCAGGTTCAAATCCCATCTGCCCGAGATGTGTGTCAAAACATGTCGGAAGAGGTTGATTTCCTATATTTTACTTCCACTTGCAACAGAATAAGATTATTATTTCATTCAAAGAAGCAATCAGAGGGAATCATCTTAACAACTTAATGGTGCTAGCAACCAAAATGTTGTCTCTTCAAAGAATGCTCAAGAATTTGATGGCCTAGAGATGACTGAAGTCAAAGGAAAATAAGAAGTTCAACAATACTCTTCCACTTCAATATTTTTTGTTATATTCAAATTCAATTTTTTCTTTTCTTTTTGGGCAGGGTGAGCCAGGTACCAAAGGTGAAAAAGGAATCCAGGGAGACAAAGGACGACCTGGTGATCCAGGGCCTCCAGGTATAAAAGGACACACTGGGATAATGGGTCCAGTGGGGCCTCCAGGAGAAAGAGGCCCAGTTGGGTTACCAGGCCAATCGGGTCTTCCCGGAAAACCTGGAGAAAGAGTAAGTCGCTGAATACTGCCCTCTTGGTTGCGGATCGCAAAAACTTTGAGTGTCAAGCCAACTGTGATGGGGAAAAAACAAAATCCTTACATTCGGAATTACTTCAAAACTCTAGTTTGGAATTGAGCATTCCAGTCAAACCCATTTAAAATTATCTCCTCTGATCAACTTTAGACGTGTTAGCTTCATAAAAATCAGGGATCATTTTGTGAAATAAAACCAGCCACCAGACGAATGGAATAGGAATTTATATCCGATGTCCTGTACATTTTCTATTCACTTAAAGTTACATGCTTAAGTACCTGTTACTTACTGTCAGAGGCAAGGTTACCGATCAGAATTGGAGTTTGGTAAAATTATCCCTCATATTTTGATTTAACATTGATTTATGTGCACTTGGTTTTATTTTTCCTAGGGTGAACCTCCATCTTCTGAGCACCTGAGGAGACTTATAAGGGAAGAGCTGTCAAAGCAGCTCGATGGTAAGTTGCACTTCATATTTCTGCATTTACTGTATTATACTTTTGGAAGATATGATCCTGGCCCCAAAGTTTCAATCCAGCATAGATTCATTCCAGATGAAAGGTTTGTCTTATGAGAAAAGATTGAGCACTTCAGGCATATACTCACTCTAGTTATGATGGATAAGAGGATACCCAATTAAGGTGTATAAGATGCTAAAGGGTATTAACAAATTAGACGTAGAGTGGATGTGAGGCAATCTAGAATGAGAGGTCATAGTTTGAGGCAAAGGGATAGCAGGTTTAACACAAGACAAACAGGAATTACTCTTCTCAAAGTGTCATGAATCTGTGGAATTCACTGCCCCAGAGTGTGGTGGACACCAAAATACTGAATAAATTTCAGGAGGACATGGACACAATTTTATTTAGTAATGGGTTAACTTGTTATGGGGAACAAGCAGGCAAGTGGAGTCAAGGTCGAAATGATCGTATCAACTAGCGGAATAGGCTCGAGAGGCTGAATTGTCTATTCCTGCTCTTAGTTCTTATTCTGATATTCAAAACAGTGTTGGCATGTAGACTGACCTTGAATCATGCATTTAGTAGCTGAAAGGAGAACAATAGAATTACTAACATTATCCCAGACCTTGAGGATGGCACGGTGGCTCTGTGGTTACCACTAGTGCTTCACTGTATCAGAGACCCAGGTTGGATTCGATTTCAAATTATGGTATTTAAAAGATTGTCTATCTCAGGCAGTTGCAACAGTATGACGACAGTTGTGTGTTCATTGACTCCTCTTGTGCGCCTTTTGATTGATCTCAGTTTGTAGCACTTGTTCTTAATTCTTTCTGTTATAAAGATCTTTTTTTTCCCTTTAAACATCCACAGGATGAGGGCATCGCTGCCAGGAAGCATTTATTGCCCATCCCTAATTGCCTAGAGGGCAGTTAAGAGTCAACCACATTGCTGTGGGTCTGCAGTCACATGTGGCCAGACCAGGGCAGGATGGCAGTTTCCTTCCCTAAAGGACATCAGTGAACCAGATGGGTTTTTCCCAAACAATCAGCAATGGATTCATCATTAGACTCTTAATTCCAGATTTCTATTGAATTCAATTTCCACCATCCACCATGGCAGGTGAACCCGAGTCCCCAGAACATTATCTGGGTCTCTGGATTAACAGTCCAGTGATAATACCACTAGGCCATCATCTTCATAATTTGACAATCAAATTATGAAAATAGATCATAGGAATTGGCATGTTTGATAAGAAAAATGATGTTTGGAGCACAAAATTCTTAAGTTTAGAGTGAAGTGATAAGTGAATTATTAGGAAGACTGCAAAATATTAGTTCACTACTTCAAGTGACTCAGAAGTAGACTGTGAATTATTGACACATAATGCAGACATTATTCCTCACATTGAAAGATTTGCTACTCAGACTGTCAGACCTACACCTGTAAACCATTGCTGTGGATCAGTCTTAACATTATCATTGAACGCTCTTGTTTCTGAAAGTGTCCCTGAGAAAAGCTAGGTAAGGATAAATAATTTTAAAGCAAAAGTCAAACATTAATGCCATGTGTCAATATTGCTGATGGATCATCCTGCACATTAATTTGTTGTATTCTATGATTCTGTATGATCTGCAGATCTCACCATGTTTACTCTCCCTGTTGCTGGTTGGAAGGGTATTCTATCTGCCTTGAACAGCTAAGAACACTGGTACTTCCATCACATCTTACATAAATGATTGTAATGACTTGTCATTATCAGTGCCACATAAATTAGTGTCACTAAAGGAGTTGGTATCACTTTAAGAATTGATGACGAATATCAGTAAGTCTTGATTTGTTGTATCAATGATTGAAGAATCAGATACTGCAGGGCTTTTTTTGCAAATCACAAAATTGGGCCTGATATTGTCATGTGCTCTGGTTCTTGAGTGTGTCTACTGTTTTGCAGTGTCTGAAGAAATAGGTTCATCCTCTTCAAGCATGGAGGGATGAGATATATCCTAAAACTGAAAAAAATATTCTTTGAAAAGTCAAGGCACTTCTGGGTTATCCAATCCTCCTGATGTAAAGTTTCAGCTGTTAGGAAAAGTTGAGGTCAATTTTGGCAAAATGCCACCCAATCTTCAAGGGATAAAAGCTCTCATTCCTCGTAAGAATGAGACAATCCTTCACAAGTGGAATGAAGTTATCATTTTGAATGGAGTTAGAAACAAAGAAACTGCAGATGCTGGAATCCAAGGTAGACAAACAGGAGGCTGGAAGAACACAGCAGGCCAGGCAGCATCTGGAGGAACGGAACAGGCAATGTTTCGGGTATTACCTTGTACCAGTTGTAGAAGACTGAGTAGTACACAAGCCTGCCAAAACATCAATGACCTATTCTGATTCTATAGGCTCCTAAAGAACTCTACCATTGTAATACTACTGCAAAACACCTTTTAACGAGAGGGGATTTTTTTTTTCCCAAGGGCCTAGACCTTGATGTCTGATGGTTGAAGCGACACAGTGTAAAGCCATTCTAAAATAGCAGGCAACATAGTCAAAGTTCCTCCTGAGTTGAGTCAAAATTCAACATCAAAATTCTTGACTTTTAAGATGACTGACCAAAAGTCCTGGGCCAACTCATCAACTAGACCTCACAACAGCCCATGCGAGACAGAGGAGCAGATATGTAGTCAGATACTGGAAAGGTGTGAAAAAATGCAGGGCAGTTGTGGTGGGTGACTTCACCTTTCCTCTTATTGACTGGGACTCCCTTAGAGCCATGGGCTCAGATAGAGAGCAATTTATTAGATGTGGCCAGGAGGGCTTTTTGAGACAGTACGTTGACAATCCAACCAGCGAGGAGGTCATACTAGACTTGGTATTAGGGAATGAGCCAGGACAGGTGATCAATGCTTCAGTAGGAGAGCATTTCAGACTTAGTAACCATAACTCCATAAGATTTTGAGTAGTCATGGACAAGGACAAGAGTGGCCCTTGGGCGAGGGTGTTTAATTGGGCGAGGGTGTTTAATTGGGCAAGGGCCAATTATACTCAAATTAGACAAGAACTGGGGAATGTGGGTTGGGAGCAATTATTTGAGGGCAAATCTACATCTGGTATGTTGGAGGCTTTTAAAAACCAGTTGATTAAAGTGCAGGACACGCATGTCCCAGCAAAACTGAAGGATAGGAATGGCAGGGTCTAGAAACCATGAATGCCAAGGGAAATTGTAAACTTAGACGAAAGGAAAAAGGAAGCATACATTAGGTCTAGGCAGCTACAAACTGATAAAGCCCTTGAGGATTATAGAGAAATTAGAAAAGAACTGAAATGCATAATTAGGGAGGCTAAAAGGGGCCATGAAATATCTTTCGCAAACATGGTCAAGGAGAATCCCAAGGCATTTTATGCATATATTTGAAGAAAGATGGTATCGAGGAAAAGAGTGGGTCCCTTCAAGGACAAAGGAGGGAAGTTATATGTGGAGCAACAGGAAGTGGGAGAGATCTTTAATGAGTACTTTGTATCGGTATTCACGAAGGATAAGGTCATGACTGATGTTGAGGTCAGGGATCAGAATGTCAGTATATTAAAGGATGAAGTTTTGTGTATCCTAAATTGCATTAAAGTAGACAAGTCCCCAGGGCCAGATGGAATCTATTCCGGGTTACTGCGAGAGGCAAGGGAAGAAATAGCTGGAGCATTAGCAGCTATCTTCATATCCTCCTTGACCACCGAGTAGGTTCCAGAGGACTGGAAATTAGCCAATGTTGTTCCCTTGTTTAAGAAAGGAAGCAGGGATAATCCAGGAAATTATAGGCGGGTGAGTCTGACATCTGTGGTGGGGAAGTTCTTGGAGAAGATGCTGAGGGACATGTGCACATTTGGAAGAAAGTGGACTAGTTATTGACAAGTAGTATGGTTTCATACGGAGAAGGTCATGTCTCACCAACCTGATTGAATTTTTTGAAGAGGTAACAAAGATAATTGATGAGGGAAGAGCTTTGGATGTAGTTTATATGGACTTTAATAAGGCATTTAATAAAGTCCCACATGGCAAATTGGTACAAAAACTAAAATCACATGGGATTCAGGGTGGGCTGGCTAGATGGATACAAAACTGACTTAGTCATAGAAGGCAGAGGGTAGCGGTGGAAGGGCATTTATCCGAATGGAGACCGGTAACTAGCGGTGTTCTACAGGGATCGGTCTTTGATCATCTGTTGTTTGTAGTGTATATAAATGAGTGTATATAAATGATCTGGAGGAAAATGTGGGTGGTCTGATTAGTAAGTTTGCAGATGACAGGAAGATTGGTGGAGTTGCTGATAGTACTGACAATTGTAAAAAAGATACAACAGGATATAGATAGATTAGTGACTTCGGCACAGAATTGGCAGATGGAGTTTAATCCAGACAAATGCAAGGTGATGCATTTTGTAGGATCAAATTTAGGTGTGAATGATACTGTTAATGGCAGAACCCTTAGGAATATTAACATACAGATGGATCTGGGCATGCAGGTCCATAGTTCCCTAAAAGTGGCGACACAGGTGGCCAAATTGACTAAGAACCCATATGGCATGCTTGCCTTCATTTGCTGGGGCATAGACTATAAGAGTTGGCAAAACATGTTGCAGCTATATAAAACCCTTGTTAGGCCGCATTTGGAGTATTGTGTGCACTTTTGGTCACCACATTACCAGAAAGATATGGGAGCTTTGGAGAGAGTGCAGAGAAGATTCACCAGGATGTTGCCCAGTCTCGACGGCATTGGCTATAAGGAAAGGTTAGAAAGACTAGGATTGCTTTCACTGGAAAGACAGTGGCTGAGAGGAGACCTGATAGAGGCATAGATAGGGTGGATAGTCAGAGGCTTCTTCCCATGTTTGAAGTTTCAATTACAAGGGGGCACAGATTCAAGGTGAGAGGGCAAAAGTTTAAGGGAGATGCGCGAGGAAAGTTTTTCACGCATTGAGTGGGAGCAGCCTGCAATGAACGGCCAGAAGAGGTGGTGGAAGCAGGCACATTGGTGACATGTAAGAGGCATCTGGATGGTTACGTGTAAAGGGAGGGAATAGAGGGATATGGACCGAATAGGGGCAGAAGGTTTGTTTTTAGTTTAGTCAGGGAATGATGATCGGCATGGGCTTGGACGGCTGACGGTCCTGTTCCTGTGCTGTACCTTTCTTTTGTTCTTTTTGTTCTTTTGTTCTGCTGCAGAGTCAATGATGTAAACTTGACCAATAAAGTGTTTAATTTCCATCAATTTCCTCTTCTGCATCTTGTCCAGTCAGTCGGATTTTCCATTGTTCAGAAGTTAATTTATTCAATTTGCAATTTAGAGATGATCTTGAATTTTCAGATTGTTGAAAGTGACTGATTCTGTCACTGTGAAAACATTGGGTGTCCCCTGCTGGGCAGTCTTTTCACATGTGTAACCATCTTGTGACACAACACCAGCATTACAAAATTGGACTGAGCCTTGGACTTAACCCGAATCACATCCCAGTTACACATGCTTTGCCGTGCTTGGCTGGTATGTTAAACCACCTTGCTCTAAGTTGTCTTCTTTAGACTGCAAAATAACAGTTGGCTGTTGAGGACTTTGACCACGATTCCACCTTGGCTTTGTTTGAATGTGCTATAACCGAATGAACTGGCCAGTCTACGTAAATCATTCATGAAGGAGTCCACCAATTCCCCCTTGCTGCTGGGACTGCTGATTCAACTGGGTGCATTCAATAATCAAACTTTTCCTGGGGCTAAGATGGACTGACGTGGAGCTGTTGCTGCTGTAAATGGAGACCTGAAGCTATTCTATTCCCGTGGAAGATGCAATTCCATTTATATGCTTGCACTTGTTCTTCGGCATTGAAGAGCGTTGGACGAGTTAGAAACTAAACAGCTAGTGTAGACATTTTGCCACAACACAGCATGCCTGACTTCACATCACTACCTCAACATGCAGAATTTGGGAAGGATTCTCAGGATTTTTGCCTCATAGTTCTTCCACCTTGTCTCAAGTTTCTTCAAATTAGATTGGTGCCTCTACTCGTGCCACCACGCTTTAGTATGGGTTAACCTGTACAAGCAGTATTTATTGACAATATGAACATTATGATTTTGCAGCAAACATCTCTCCCCTAAGCAGCTCCCGTTCCATCCTCTAGCAATGTCTATCCCTTGTAGCTTCTGAGGTCACTCACAATTACATCACCAGCATACCTCAGATACTCAGCTGCAATTCAATTATTTTTCTACCATGGACATTTAACACTCCCTTCCAAAGATGATAATTGATTTTTAGGGATTATGCAAGTAGGTTACAGGTCCACCACGAAACTCATTGAGCGGTGAAACTGGCTAAGGCATGCTAAATGGCCTACTCGTGCTGCCAAATTGTTCAGAAAATCAATCCTCCAAGAAAAGGGAGAAAAATATAGTAAGAAGTAAGTCAAAGCTGTGAGAGTGACATGGTCCGTTATACAATCATTGATTTTTATTGTATTTCTGTAAGTTTAGAGTTTAGAAATTGTTAACTTCATAAGCTTTGTGAATGAGTTTGTGTAGTTTGCAACTATGTCAAGATCCTGGGTCTTTCAATATCCTGCATGCAGTGAAGAACCAAACTAGATAAGTTTCATAAAATTATACAGATGGATGTCCCTTTTTGATATTTCAGTAAACTAGAAGCTTTGTTATATTTGTTTACAGTGCGGCTGTCCTATCTCATGTCTCAGTTTCCACCAACATCCATTAAAGCACCGCCTGGGAAGCCAGGGCCTCCAGGCCCACCAGGGACTGATGGATTTCCCGGGAGGCCTGGTGTCCCAGGAGAACCTGGGCCACCTGGGCAACCTGGCTCTGAAGGAGCCAGTGGACCAATGGGTCCAAAAGGTATGAATGTGCTTCTCATTTTTAAAAATGTGCTCTTACGTGTATTGAAATAAAATCGCTCAGTAGTTCCAAATTTCAGACCCAGGTTCAGGTTATTCATTGACTGCAAAGTTTAAAATTGGTCAGATGCTAAGGTCAATAAAATTGAAATGGATAATCTAGTAATCCTAAAACATATGAATAGAATGGGAATAGAAGGATACGGTCCCTCTATACATAATACATAATATATTTTAAGTATCAAAGTAGAACAGTAGTCTCACCAAAACATTATGCTTAATGTGGTAAGATGTGAGACACCATAATCGGTACAAATCACTCTGGCAGATTTATATTCTCTTGTTTTATCAGGACTGGGGATAAAACTTTAACATGTGCATAATGATTTATTGTAGGTCTCTTAATCTTTTTTAATGTTTTTTCTTCATTACATAATTTTGAAATTTTTAATTTATTAAAGGCAAGGGCATGAGCTAAATCCTTATTTCAGGCCAACACCTGTCACTTACAATGAGCTTTTCATCAACGTAAAGTATCATTTCACCTCCTCAGAGATATCATGATAATTAAATGGATAACGAGTTAATATTACAAAAAAAATGAACAAATAAAATTACAGTGTAGGAACAGGCCCTTCGGCCCTCCAAGACTATACCGACACGGAGCCCATCACAACTAAATCCCCCTACCCTTCCAGGGACCGTATCCCTCTATTCCCATTCTATTCATATATTTGGCAAGACGCCCTTTAAAAGTCACTATAGTATCTGCTTCCAATACCTCCCCCGGCAGCGAGTTCCAGGCACCCACCACCTTCTGTGTAAAAAACTTGCCTCATACTTCACCTTTAAACCTTGCCCCTCGCACCTTAAACCTATGGCCCCTGGTAACTGACCCTTCTGCCCTGGGAAAAAGCTTCTGACTGTCCAGTCTGTCCATGCCCTTCATAATCTTGTAGACCTCTATCAGATCGCCCCTCAACCTCCGTCATTCCAGTAAGAACAACCCAAGTTTCTCCAACCTTTCCTCATAGCTAATGCCCACCATACCAGGCAACATCCTGATAAATTTTTCTGTACCCTCTCCAAAGCCACCACATCCTTCTGGTAGTGTGGTGACCAGAATTGAACACAATATTCCAAATGCGGCCTAACTAAGGCTCTATAAAGTTGCAACATTACCTGCCAATTTTTAAACTCAATGCCCCGGCCGATGAAGGCAGGCATGCCATATTGATGATGTCCATGTAATTCTTGGAAACATCCAACATTGATAAATTTCAGTAAAATCGATAAAAGCCCTAGTCTGACCTCTTGATAATGTGGTGTTGCTTCTTCTTAGCTGCGGGTGATTTGAAGGATCTTCAATTCTCAACAGCAGAAAGTAATCTCTCTTATTCTGTAGAGCAATTGCTTCACAAAATTCTCTTAGCAATTCTTATTACTTCCTCATCATGTTCAAAAGATTAACAGGTTTGTGCACAACATACACACGCACAAAGCGTGACTATAAAATGTTTTGAGTATGGGATATTTGTCCCCGTATCTCTGGAACCAAGTATAGTATTTTTTCCAACAATTAATCTTTATAATAGCCAATTTAAATACAAGTGCACATCATTATTTCATTGCTCAATGAAGAAATTAACATCAGCATTGATCAAGACGAACATTTATTTTAATGTGCGTTTAATTTCACAAAGGCAAATGGCATTTTTGCTATCAGCTCCTGGCCTGTTATATGTAAGTAGTGTTGTTTTATGTTCAGGTGATAGAGGTGCTAAAGGTGAAAAAGGAGAGACGGGTATTGGACAGAGGGGTGATCCTGGTCCACCAGGCCCTGCTGGTAAGATTTTATTTTCCATTTTATTAGCTAACATAACATCACTTAAAAAAATTGAGTATATAGTTTGAAATCTTGGTTGAAGGTATAAAGAGTGATAAAAAAAAATTTGCTTTTTCTCATTTGCGTTGTTCTGTTTTGTAGACATGTATTATTTAAGAACAGGAATCCTTTTCCTTCATGCTTATTAACAGTCGGGCTACCTGTGAGTTTAAAGGAACATTCCAAGAATAATCTTCTCATTCAGATTACTTTATGCTCTTTGATGTTTGCACCAATCCATCAAAACTAGGTTTAGTAACAGATTATGAATTAAGGCTTTACGAGATAAGTTTCCTGAATTGATCATGGATGAGCTAGGGTAAAAAATAGAACTGTATTGGTGATGTACAGGGAACAAGGGGGTGGTGTGTCAGGAATCAGTATAGAGGGACATCTATATAGTATTAAATCTGGATACTATATCAGAGATTGTTTCATACTGGTAACAATGAATTTAGAAGGAAAGACAACCTGATTTCTCCAAATGATTGAAAATAAATCCATGTAATTTGTTATTTGGCAAGATTAGGCTCCACACAAAATAGCCTGGAAGCTCAGGTCCCTGTTTATCTCAGGTTTTCGTAACTCTTTTAACGGGCAAGTAGCTATTCATCTGAAATTCCTTCAGGGAGCATCCTTGCAACTTGTTCTTTGCTATGTCTCCAAGGCTTAAAATTTTTAGTGATCAGAAATAGAAATTGCAATTGCTGTGTGATCTGATAAGACTCACGTGACTTGAAATCTAATATCTTTGATCTTTATTCCATTGTTTTGCTATTTTATTCAAACTATTGGTTTACTCTACATCATTTGTACATATCTGGATTTCCATGAAGGAGATGGTTATTGGGATTTGGGAAAGTTTCCAATCTGAGAAACCTGTCTGCCAAGAAGGTCCTGTTTTCATGCGTGGGCATTGGGTGGGGGCGTGGGGTGGTGGGATGGAATTGGGTCTACTTCCTTCAGGTCTGAGTTAGCAACAGAGGGAGACAGATGATGAGGCTGAAAGGTTAGGGGAGCCCATCTTCATTGTCATAGTGATAAATTTCAAACCCTCATCAGATATCCACCTTAGCGTCCACCCAGCAGCGTGTCCCCGATATGTCTTATGAACCCACTATGCACCCACTCACCAACAATGTTCCCCATTTTTCTCCATGACCCCATTTCTCCTATGGCTAATCCATGGCCTCCAAATATCCTATGCCCACTGAACAATCTCTTAGCTCCAATTTTCCCCTCAACACTCCCTCATCTCCCATATTTCCCCTGTCCCTGTCAATACCGATCTACTACCCCTTTAATCTTCTATGCCTGTTCTCCCAATATACACTATACAGAGAACCAAAGAGTTGTTGGCAAGCCAGCCATCATCACAATCATCCTGAAACTCATGACACAAGCAGGATCTTGAAAAAGACATGTTGAAAATCTATGGTCAGCCTACAATCTCCTAAAAGCATCAATCAGCCACAAGTATTAATTGTTCTTCTTCATTTTCATCATCATCATCAGTTCTCTGCCTGAAGGCTGGTCCAGCTCACTGTGCCATGAGCTTGACAATGGACAAGTAGACATATCCTCAATCCACCCCAGCTAAAATGGGGATTAAACACCATGCCGTTGACAGCAATGTGGTGCACATCAGCCATCCAACCAACTGAGCTGAAGTGCCTCTCCCCACGCACTCCCAGCACCTTAGCCAAAAAGAATAATCACAACTGTAATGAGAGTGAACTACCAAGAAAAGTTACAGAAATTTAAGGATTGATGGACCTCATCAAACGTGAATTGTAGAGAAAAAAAAACAATGTATACAATATGGCAGTAAAAATAGACTACCCAATTCAAATTAGTAAAAGAAATTATTAAGTCATTAAAAGATGCTAAATATTTATAATGTGTCTCATGACCTGGCAGAATATAGCAGATTTCCAATTGAATGACTTGAACTCAAAATGAAAATAAAAGGCAAACTTGCATTTATCCAGCTGGTTTCACAACCTCAGAATTTCCCAATACACTATGCAACGGGATGTGTGCCCTTCTGTACTTTGAAATAGTGCTACGGAACTTTTAAATTCACCTGAGAGGGCAGATGAAGCCTTAGTTCAATGTACCAACTACAAGACAGTAAACAATTTCTTCAGAATTTCACTGGTATGTCAGTCTTGATTATTGTGCTCAGGTTTCTGGAGTGGGACTTGAAGCCATAATGCTCTCCCTCAGAGGAAAAAAATATTCTCCCAGCTCTCCCATGGATGACAAAAAAATCTGAATGATTCAGTACTTTGGAGTTAAGGCTTGACGGGTCAAATTTCATTTTTTCTTTCCATTGTAAACTTTCACTTATCTTGTTTCAACTGTTACATTTATAGGTATCCCTGGAACACCTGGCTATGGGAAAGATGGAGTTCCTGGTACTCCAGGGCCACCTGGAGAGTCTGGCCTACCTGGAGGGATAGGTCCTCAAGGACCCCCTGGTCAGAATGGAATCTGTGACCTGGCTCAATGTGCTTATTATGCAAGTATGGCCAGCCGACCAGCTAACCAAAAAGGACCTTGAGCCAAAACAAAAAGAGTTTGAAGAGATGAAGGATGCAGATGCTGTTTAATACAAACATAAAAATATATCCGACCGCAGTCTGTACAGCGATCACTCCGAGCGCACATGCGGCCAGCTAGATGTGTTTTGATATGAGATCCTGCCATCTCCTAGAAAATCAGGAGAAATATACTGTATCCCAGCCATTAAACACACACACACACAGGTCCCTTCTGCAAATCCATATCAGCACCCAATTGTAACAAAACTTGGTGATTTAAAAACTTTCTAACTGTACATATTTTCAAAATTTGCAGCAAGTTTCCTGTATAGTTGTACCTCATCTGTAGGACAATCCAGTGTGCATGTGTGAAATGCAATTTACATGCAGTAGATTACTTAGTTATTGTTGGATTTCAGTTTTGTGAATATATATATAAAGTAAAATTAATGGCAAAGATGCTGATTTCCCCAGGCTTAATTTAAAAGCAAATACCTCTTCTACAGGCCCTTGAGGGGCAATTTATTTTCACGTTGCACGAATAATGTACTTGAGTTTTCAATCATATATCATATTTTAGCTAATCATAAAATATTAAAATTCTGATTATTTTCTTTGAAGAAATAGTAATACCTGACCTTGCTGATGATTTATTATTTGTGCCTTAATTTAAATTGCAATTTTTTTTTTAAATTTAAGCTTTATTTTATCATGCTTATTGAGGCAAGATATTAATGCTGAAAATGGAACATTTTTCAATTCAAGAACACAGCTTTTGCTTCAAGTGCTCTCTGGTCAAGTGTAGGTCTGCCTATCACAAAGTTATGTTCTCCCCCAATTGTCTGCACAATTTCTACTATACATTGTTACGACATTTTTAAATACATTTCTCACACCAGCCATATATGGTGGCTTCTTGGAATGAGGTTGCTTTTTTTTTAATCTTTGTTGTGTTGTTTACCACTTTCTCCAGCTGGTTGGGGAAGGATAGTGAAATTAGTTCTCAGGTACCCCATTTAAGCGGGGGTAGACAGGACTAATTTCAGAGCACAACACCCCATGTGAAATAACTCCAAAAAGACTGGTATCCCGTCATCAAGTCATCCCTTATTTACAAGGTCAGAAATCACACGACACCAGGTTATAGCCCAACAGGTTTATTTGAAAACACAAGCTTTCGGAGTCTTACTCATTCTTCAGGTGTTCAGTCTCCAAAAGCCTGTATTTTCAAATAAAGCTATTCGACTATAACCTGTTGTCGTGTGACTCCTGACCTTGTCCACCCCAGTCCAACACCTGCACTTCCACTACCACTTCATGGCCTTTATTTACACCGTATATAATACTTGACACTGATCCAGCTTCCTCAGAGTCAGCTGCCAGAGAATGAACAGAATCGCTGACACTCCTGTTTATATCTGTCAGCCAGGGGTCCCTGATTGGACCAAGTTAACAGCCCCAGTCAGGGAACTATGAGGCCCTGCTGGCTGATTTCATTACAATCACTATACCATGCAACTTTATTCTGGATACCACAGTATAAGAAAAATCTGATGTTCTGGCAGCTTCCTGAAATGGGTATTTTGCCTCATGAGTTGTAGGTCTATTGCCTGTTTAAGGGGCTTTGTTGGATAAAGCAGAGTTGGAGACAGACTAGCTTGATCCAATTATTTGTTTCCTAATGGAACTGCTGGAGGCTGCCTACAAAAATCTCTGCTTATATATTAAGTTAAGTAGAAATGAGACTAATTTCTCTGCAGTTAACTTGTTCTGGTCTACATAATTGGTTTGAAACTGGCAGCTATCTAGCACTTCGGTAAAGTGTGCTTTGTCACATGTAAGTCAACCACTTAGATAATTATGGACATTGTGATGGAGTATAAAATCCTGCTGTCAGCTATTGTCCACACACCCACACTCTTTAACCACAATGGAGTAATGGCCCTGGCTGATTAACTTTCCCTCTCTAACTGAGGCCAATTGTATCAACTGTGTCCTCATTTCCTCAGGTCATATCTAGGCTGTATACTTTTACAGCACAAAAAATCTATACATGTATCCATTGAACCATCTTATCACAACACCACTGAAGTATTTATTTATGATCATTTTACCCTAATGATGAGCACAACTGCAAAAATGAACAGGCAAGACAAGGACAATGGGACATCACCATGCACTCAGATTATCCATTGTCTTGAATTTATATTATCATCTAGAAATATTTTTCATTTTTTTAAGTTACCTTAACCAATTATCCAACAGACAGCCAGAAATATGAAAGATTCTGTCCAATTGTTTCAGTTTTTGTGTGAATCCTGGTTGAAAGTTCCCAGAGATGAGATCATACCTACCCATCCACGAATACTTTTGCCTCAGAATACTTCTAGTAGCATGCAGCTGACTTTCCCACCATGAGTTCAGTTTTCAGTGGACACTGGAATTGCTGCAGTGCCTTGCATTCAGAGCTCAGCAGCGCGTGGAGAGCTGCAGAGTCTAAGTAACAGAGGACCTGTGCAAATGCTTTCTGAGAGTGACACAAATAACATTAGTGGAAGATAACTTTTGATTGAAGGAAACACTATTTGTTCAGGAAACTCATTATGTTCTTTCCTCCAATTGCCACTGCCTGCAGCAAGTCTCTCCCCTAATCTAGCTTTATTCTTCTGTGGAAATGAGAATTCATGCCAATACACCAGTAAACCCTAGGATGGAAAACCAACCGCAGTCAGCACAGATTCCATTCTATATAGAAGTCCCAGAATCATAAAACCCAGGCTATTGACAAACGCTCATTGTTGTCTAAGAATTATTGTACCCAGTTTACATGAGGTTGTAATTCTAAAGGATGTGTTCAACACTAATAGCACCATACTCAATGGAAAATTTCAAATAAGATTTTTCAAATCCTACATCACAAATTTGATATCTTTCACATTGTACATCATGCCTTTATGTTCTATATTATGTAGCAAGTTTTTTCAAAAACAAGAATCGGACACTGAAGAATAGCGAAATAAAGTTAGCAATGTTTATATTATACAGCTTTATAAAGAGATATACTGTATTTATAAAAATACTGCACATCTTTTTGCACATGCAAGTCCAATCGCAGTATTGTTCAGTGAATCAGAGCAGTCACCAAAAAGTAACAGCTAATGTGTGAGAAGAAAAATTATGCATGTGTGAAAAAGTTCATTTAAATCTACTAGAATGGGGTCTAAAATTGGGCTGGCTGTAAATTTAGCAATCAAGTCAATTCATACTCATGGAACAGGTTAGTTTTACACTTGAGATGTGTGATTATGCACAAAAATATTAACTTTGCTGCACTATGAAATATAAGTGCATTTCAAAGCGTAACCTAAACCAAGGAGTTCAAATGACTATTCCCCTATTCCCAATTCCTTCGCCTCCGCTGCATCTGCTCCCAGGATCAGGCATTCCACTCCCGTACATCTCAGATGTCCTCGTTTTTCAAGGACCGCAACTTCCCCCCCTCAGTGGTCGAGAACGCCCTCCACCGTGTCTCCCGCATTTCCCGCAACTCATCCCTCACACCCCGTCCCCACAATAACAACCAAAACAGAATCCCCCTCGTCCTCATGTACCACCCCACCAACCTCCGGATCCAACCCATCATCCTCCGACACTTCCACCATCTGCAATCCGACCCCACCATCAAAGACATTTTTCCCTCCCCACCCTTATCTGCTTTCCGGAGGGACCACTCTCTCCAGGACTCCCTTGTCTGCTCCACACTCCCCTCCAGCTCCACCACACCCGGCACTTTTCCCTGCAACCGCAGGAAGTGCTACACCTGCCCCTACACCTCCCCCCTCAACCCCATCCCAGGCCCCAAGAAGACTTTCCACATGAAGCAGATGTTCACCTGCACATCTGCTAATGTGGTATACTGTATCCGCTGTTCCCGTTGTGGCCTCCTCTACATCGGGGAAACCAAGCGGAGGCTTGGGAACCGCTTTGCAGAACACCTACGCTCGGTTTGCCCTAAACAACTGCACCTCCCAGTCGCGAGCCATTTCAACTCCCCCTCCCATTCCTCAGACGACATGTCCATCCTGGGCCTCCTGCAGTGCCACAACGATGCCACCCGAAGGTTGCAGGAACAGCAACTCATATTCCGCTTGGGAACCCTGCAGCCCAATGGTATCAATGTGGACTTCACAAGCTTCAAAATCTCCCCTCCCCCTACCGCATCCCAAAACCAGCCCAGCTCGTCCCCGCCTCCCTAACCTGTCCTTCCTCCCACCTATCCCCTCCTTCCACCTCAAGCAGCACCCCCATTTCCTACCTACTAACCTCATCCCGCCCCCTAAAATGTCCGTCCTCCCTGGACTGACCTATCTCCTCCCTACCTCCCCACCTACACTCACGTTTACTGGCTCCATCCCCGCCTATTTGACCTGTCTGTCTCCTCTCCACCTATCGTCTCCTCTATCCATCTTCTATCCACCTCCCCCTCTCTCTATTTATTTCAGAACCCCCTTCCCCTCCCCGATTTCTGAAGAAGGGTCTAGGCCCAAAACGTCAGCCTTACTGCTCGTATGATGCTGCGTGGCCTGCTGTGTTCATCCAGCTTCATACCTTGTTATCTCTAGTTCAAATGACTCGATTTGATATCAAAATTTGAAACTGCTCAACTGAGCTCATGGAACTTGTAATTTTGCACACAGATAACACAGATGACCCTGCATAAACCAAATATTTTCTTTGGGAAAGTTATGACCACGTGTTGATGATTTAATAATATGGCTGTGTGGGTGCTTACCTGGTGGGATGCAATGCAAAGGAATGTAGATTGTTGTAATTTATTGATTAAGAAAAGAAGGGTGTTTCAATGGACATATATGGACTGCATAAATTTCCATTAAAATGTACAAATTGTTAAGGTAGCGGAAACAGAAGTTTATTAACAAGCACATTCAAAGCTGATGTATTTTGTGTAAAAAGATAATATTTGAATATTTAACTAACCCTGAGTGAAGCCTCTTATGCACTGGGTATTTCACACTTCTAATGTTTTACAAATATTATATTAAATAGTGAGCCGAATTCTCCAGAACTGGGGAAGACTACTTTCGGTGCACCTCCTATTCTCACCTATTTACAGATTTTGTTTGGTATGTTTTGTCAATATGGCTGTCCTTGGGACAGTACCTAAAAGATACTCTGGAGACTCAGGAGACAGTTTACATTTCCAGCAGGTGGCAGTGGAGAGAAACTGACCAGAACAGTTTGCCAGCCGAATTACACACAATGTCTTATTCTCCTTCTCAGTAAAGTGAAAGAAAAGGTCACCACTGCACCACTGTTCCAAATTAAAACAGCCATCTTTGATTTCAATTCCTTTAAAATAATATTGCTAGGTTGTGAGATAGAAATTCAAAGGTTTAGCCTAGCTTCGAATTGGACTGATTCTGGGGCCAGCAAGATATGTCTTGGCCTGGTTCAGCCAGATTTTTCATGACCCTGGTGCAGAGTTAATTTATGAATGTTGCTGTTCTTAGAGTAGGAGGCCTTATGGGCCAATAGGTATGGTCCCTGCCTCTAAGTAGAAGCTCTGTGTTCAAGTTCCACTTCAGGTCTTAGTGGCCATGAAAATAGCATTTATGACATTGTTCAATCAGTTGATGATCCACCCGTTAATTCTTCCAATGCTTCCCCAAAGGGGAAATAAGACGAAATGTAAAATACAAATCATCTTTGAATAATTTTAACTAATCATGTCTGTGTTGCGATGTTGCAAATATTTTGCCATTGCAAAATTGTTACCATCTTCAATCTTTCATTTGTTCCATTTTACTTCTCTGGTTCCCATGGCTCTGCTTTCCTATCGGTCAAATAAATATTTTAATAAGATATCCCAAACTGCAAAATTGCTTCCAACTCCCTCTTGTCTCTTCCTAGAAACTAAAAGCTATTGACACTTCAGTAAGAGCCTCCAAAAATCCACCGTTTCCTTTCCCTCAACTTCTACTGTTTTCATCAATGCATTTCAAATAGCTTAGTTAGGATCAACAGGTGGAGAGATAATCTGGCAACAGTGTGGTAACAAAATAGCATCCTTCTAATTCTATAAACCTGATCTTGGAATTTGAGTCAGTAGTTGAGATGGGAAAAGGAATGCATCCCTGCAAATTGATTTGTTTCATAGTCCCCTAGCATTTGGTTGCATGTTTCTTGTATCCCTTACCATGTTCTTTATTTTATTGTGATTGATGACAGACCTAACCTATGCCCCACCAAAATTACCATAGAAACAGTACCAGCATTAGGGTTTTCACTATGGTGTGGTTGCTAAATTATTTTTTAAAATGAGATCTATCTTTTATGACAGTGTATGAGATTTGCAACAACATTAATAGGTACTGTCCCTCAAAGGAAGTTCAAATCAATGTTAAGCTTCCTTTTGCTTATCCCAGAATGTGCTTTACTTTTTTCTTGTCAATGTATCTCATGGTGCTATTCCTTAAATATTTTTGACATCTCTGTAGATTTATTGTTTATGAACATCTTTGTGTATAAAGCACAGTTGATGAGTGACAGAACTGCATGATTGCAGCTTTATTGATTCATGTATTTTCTTTTTAAAAATGCTGTGTAACTTTTGGAGAGTGGGGTTTGACATTAAATACCTCCTCTGTCGAGCAGAAATGGAACTAAAAATTGTGGTAGATTAATAGCAATCCCATTTATGGGGAGGCAATGGTGTAGTGCGAATGTCACTGGACTTGTAATCCAGACCCCCAGGCTGTAGGTCTGTGGACATAAGTTCAAATCCCACATTGGCAGATGGTGCAATTTGAATTCAATAAAATCTGGAATTAAAAGCTGTCTTAATGGTGGCCACATAACCATGGTTATTTGTCACAAAAAGAAATCTGTCTGGTTTGCAAATGTCCTTTACAGAACAAATTTTGCCATCCTTACCTTATCTGGTCTACATATGACTCTATATCCGCAACAATGTGTTTGACACAGAACTGCCCTCTGAAATGTACTAGTTAGCCACTCAGTTGTATCAAACTGCAATAAAGCCTCAAGAAAGAAAGGAAGCTGAAGACAACCCAAATTTGACTTAGACACCAGGAACCACAAAAACAAATGCAGCTCTGTCAACCGTGCAAAGTCCTACTTTCCAACATCTGGGGGCTTGTGCCAAATTTGCAGAGGTATCCTACACATTAGTCAAGCATGTCATAGTCACAAAATCATATCTTACAGCTAACATCCTAGACACCACCATCACCATCCCTGGGTATGGTCCTGTTCCACCAGCAGGACAGAACTACCAGTGGTGGTACGCTATCAAGAATAAGTTATACTAGGAAACCTCAACATTAACTCCAGAAGTCATTTAATCTCTTGGCATCAGGTTAAACATGGACAATGGTGGCACAGTGGCTCAGTGGTTAGCACTGCTGTTTCACAGCACCAGGGACCCAGGTTCAATCCCAACTATCAGTGTGGAGTTTGCACATTCTCCCTGTGTCTGTGTGGGTTTCCTTTGGGTGCTCCGGTTTCCTCACACAGTCCAAAGATGTGCAGGGTTAGTGAATTGGCCATGTTAAATTGCCCATTGTGTCCAGGGATGTTTAGGTTTGGTGGATTAGACATGGGAAATGTAGGAGGAGGTGAATAGGCCTGGATGGAATGCTCTTCCGAGGGCGGTGTGGATTTGTTGGGCCAAATGACCTGTTCCCACACTAGGAATTCTATGAAGGAAACCGCTTGCTGATTTTTACCTAACTACCAATCCCCACACCCACTTTCTCACTCCCCGCCACCCCACACACACACTTCAACTGCAGATTCAGTATTCCTCAATGTTAAACACCAATAGATGGAAGCACTGAGAGTGGCAAAAACATAGAATGTTCTCAAGGTGGGGACCTTCAATGTCCATCAAAACTGGTTCAGTAGTACCATGACTGATCATAATGGGCAAAGGTGCAAGTCTGGGTCTGCAGCAAATGTTGAATGAAAAATCTACTTGAACTCAGCCTTATCAATCTAACTATAGCAAATGCATTCATCTATGACGGTACTATTAGGAGTGGCCACCACACAGACCTGTGGAGACAAAGTCCTTTTTTCACAATGACATTGATTCTGATTCCAATGAAGGATTTGATTTACCTGAGATTTTATGCTTCGTTCCTGAATTTAATGAGGAAGGAATTGAAAGATATTTAGCTCATTTGAGAAGATAGATAGACAAATGAAATTGCTGAAAGGAGTTTGGACCTTAATATGACAGAGTATGTTGTCATGCACAGCTATGACAGTATACACCACTGTTCGAAGAACAATCTGTAAAGTATGAGACTTTCAAAAAGGCAATACCCTATCCTTATGAGCTCATGTTTGAAGTTTATCAGTTGAAATTTAGGACTGCAAGAAAGAAACCTAATCAGATGTTTGTGGAATGTGCAAGGGAAAAAGAAATCTTGTGGCATCAGTAGGTGTTAGATCACAAGTTAGAGAAAGAAAAATGATAATGAGAGTTATTTTGATTTTAGAAGAATTTAGAAATAGCATTTCTGCAAATTTAAATGTTTATTTAGATGATCAAATATTCGAGTTAACATTTTGTGTTGAGAAAGCTCTGAGGAAGGGTCACTCAATCTGAAATGTTAATTCTCATTTCTCTCCACAGATGCTGCCAAACCAGCTGAGTTTTTCCAGCAATTTCTATTTTTCTTTCTGATTTACAGTATCTGCAGTTCTTTCAGTTTTTACCAAATATTCAAGATCAGGGAAGCAGCAGCTCAGGCAGATACCTGTGATCTCTCACAAAGACAATTACATGTGGGGAATTGGTCATATGGAAATCCACAAAACATTGAAGAAGTAGAAAACCGGTGGGTGGAAGAGCTAGTCTTAAAGAACAGACAGAAGCATGTAAATGTGACAAAGGAGAAAAGCTAGAATCTAAAAGATGTATCAAGAAATTTACATTGCAGATACGTCTGCTACTGCTTATGGCTCACACTACCTCACAGTTTAGATGCCTGATTTGGTTTAAGGACAGTGTTAGTGCCATGCATCATGATGGAGGGTGCCATCATCTTGAATGCAGGACTTTCCTTTACAGTGGCCAATCCTATCATTACTATCATGGAGATATGGATCTGTGACAGTGTTCTCTACTAGCTACCAGACAGAATACCAGATGAATTTTGTCCAGTGATTGAGCAGAAAGAAACCACTGGGATTTACAAATGTAGGAAGAGTCACCTTAGCAAGGCTGTCAGGATCATTCACTGGAATGTACCTTGATGCTCGAAGTCACTTGCCAGAATGTCAGAGATTGAAGTGGAAAGAATTTAGACCATAGGACTTAGAGAACTGGGGAGAAGCAACCCCTTGAAAGTGAGGATTAACTGTAGACTAGTTTCTGTAAAGATTATAATTAGAGAGCATGTGGGATGGAAAAAAAACGTCTGACAGGTAGGAAAAAATTCGGAAACTACTTTCTTTCTAGGAAGTTGTTCGGGTCTGGAATACACCACCTTATAGTTGCGGTGGAAGAACATTCAACAGCGACTTGCAAAAGGAAATTGCAAAAGTGCTTGACTGGGAAAAAAAAATATTTTCGAGGATGTAAGAGCGGCGGCTAGTTGGATAGCTTGATCAAAATGTTGGCACCAGGACGAAGGAACAAATATTATCTTTCTGTGGCATATCATTCTATATTTCTGTAAACATTTTCCTAGTATTTTGTCTTATTTACCCATTAACGTTTCCTTCCAATTTAGTTCAGATTAGTTCATTTTACTCTGGGTTACTGTTTGTCCTTTTCCACAGTTAAATATTTTGCTCGACTGCAAATTGGTACGGACTATTTCATTGCATCTCCCTCTTTGTTTATAAGAGGTCGTTTTGTCCCAAGCCTGGAGGCAACACATTTTTTTTTAACAGAAACAAGTGCAGGCATTTCGGGCGTCAGCAGGCAGTGCAGGGGCAAGAACGCCACAGATTGTGCTTTATCGGACCGGGCCGGGGTCAGCTCAGAGGAGACCCTAATTCTCATGGTGCCATGAGAAATCTGCGCTGACAGCGGCACAGCGCAGATATTAATCGACGAGTTTGGGGTTATATCAGATGACCTTTTCCTGACCCGAATCCTGGATCAGTTTCGCGTTCCAGACCAAGTGGTTACACAGGAGGTTGCTAAGCAACCGTAGAACGTCGTGAAAGTTTCAGAATGTTGAAACACAACGTTCCCAAGGAGAATGAATGGATGGTTCAGGATCCTCTGAGGGGGGAATGTTTAGCTTGTTCCTTGTTATCTTTTTTTAAAAAATACAGGTGAAGTTACATTCGCGGTCAGGCGGGGTGGGGGAGAGCTGTAGTTTCGAATCCGAGATGTCCTCAGGTCGATTAAAATCGTCTCAGGCCAGCAGCAGCCCACCCCTTCATTCCGCCAAGGGGACGGGGGAGAAGCTTTGGAAGTACAGGGTCGAGGTCGACCGCGGCAAGAAGAGGTTGAAACTAAAGGGCAGGGAGCTGCTGTTGGTGCCTCAGGAGATCTTCGACCTTGGGGAGCTGCAAGTGCTGGAGATGAGCCCGGAACGCGAGAGCTGCCTGAGTTACAGGATCGGCGGGCTCCCTCGGGCCCTCGGGCGCCTGAGCAACCTGACCGTGCTGAGGCTGGACACCAACGAGCTGAGGGAAATCCCGCCCGAGATCGGAGCCCTCCACAAGCTGGAAACGTTGACCCTCAGCAACAACCGCCTGAGCCGCCTCCCGGCCGAGGCCGAGAGGTTGCAGCGGCTGCAGAACCTGCATCTGGCCAACAACAACTTTCAGGAGCTCCCCATGCAGGTCTGCCAGCTTCGGCGCTTGTCCTTTCTGGACGCCAGCGACAACAAGATAGAGACCATCCCTGCCAGCATCGGTAACCTGGAGCGCTTGGAGACCTTGCTGCTGTGCTTCAACGCGCTGCAGAGCCTGCCCGACTCCATCTGCACTCTCGGGCGCCTGTGCACCCTGTGGCTGGGGAAGAACCAGCTCAGGAGCTTGCCCAGCCAGTTCGGGCAGCTGGTGAACTTAGAATGGGGTCGGAGTCACTGCTCCTCAAACTTCGAGGACAATCCGCTGGAATCTCCCCCTCCCGAGATCTGCAGGGGTGGCCCTGAGGAAATCAGCCGCTATTTTGCTGCTGTGGGATGAAGACCCAGAGCCCGTGGGCAACTTAAACTGACTATTAATACCACGATTGGGCTATCTATGAACTGCAGTGAACTGATCAGAAACGATGCATGCAAAAATAGGGATAGTAGGAACAGCCGATGCTGGAGAATCTGAGATAACAAGGTGCAGAGCTGGATGAACACAGCAGGCCAAGCAGCATCAGAGGAGCAGGAAGGCTGACGTTTCGAGTCTAGACCCTTCTTCAGAACAAAAATAGAGTCGTCCTGCGACTGAAAATATATTCCTTGAAATGAAACCGACTGAACTGCGATTTGTAAATCGGAGACGGCACTGTTGTGTCATCCAGGAGCAGTCATTAGGTTACATTGCTCTGGAGCCAGCCCTGTGGGAAGATGTTAAAATGCCTGCTTCTTGGGCAATATACCCTGAATTTACAGCCTAAGAGAGCTGAGCCAAAATGCAGCGTCAGACCTTCGTTGGCATTGAACCTGCAAAGTATTCAGCAGCGATAGTAGGAACTGCAGAGGCTGGAGAATCTGAGATAACAAGGTACAGAGCTGGATGAACACAGCAGGCCAAGCAGCATCAGAGGAGCAGGAATGGTGACTTTTTGGGCCTAGACCCTTCATCAGAAATGGGGGAGGGGAAGGGGGTTCTGAAATAAATAGGGAGAGAGGGGAGGCGGATAGAAGATGGATAGAGGAGAAGATAGGTGGAGAGGAAACAGACAGGTCAAAGAGGCGGGAATGGAGCCAGTAAAAGTGAGTGTAGGTGGGGAGGTAGGGAGGAGATAGGTCAGTCCAGGGAGGATGGACAGGTCAAGGGGGCAGGATGAGGTTAGTAGGTAGGAGATGGGGGTGGGGCTTGAGGTGGGAGGAGGGGATAGGTGGGAGAAAGAACAGATCAGAGAGGCAGGGACGAGCTGGGCTGGTTTTGGGATGCGGTAGGGGGAGGGGAGATATTGAAGCTTGTGAAGTCCACATTGATACCATTGGGCTGCAGGGTTCCCAAGCGGAATATGAGTTGCTGTTCCTGCAAACTTCGGGTGGCATTGTTGTGGCACTGCAGGAGGCCCAGGATGGACATGTCATCTGAGGAATGGGAGGGGGAGTTGAAATGGTT